TAATTTTCCAGTTTGAGCCCTGCGAGTCCCAGCGACTCGCTGATCAGAAAAGTATGAGCCCCGTTATGCATTTCGAGAGTCCCAAATTTTGAATTCTGAAATGGTCTACTTTTTCAATTGCATATGATAATAACACAAACAACAACAATATACATTGATCATAGGTTTATTTCTTTGAAACTGCAAAAATGTAAATAATTCAAGCATACAAGATTTGCTGAGAAATTGGTTCTTATTTCATCCCATGGTTCAGTCTTTATGAGTTCATATCTCCGCAATAAACCTTCGCAAGACTTGTTCGCAACACTTGTTTTAACGTTACACAACTTGGCAATCGTCTGCTTTCCACAAGGTGAAGGCCGACCTCGCCAATCTCGTCTCGCGGGAACGGAAATCTTGTCACGCGAGATCAAAACAACAATGGCGGCGATTGTCAAACTGTGATCGTTGCTGGGAAAAAAAATAATAAATTACGGTAGGTTTTTTTTTGGGCTTTTTTGACTGAAAAATTTCCTTGCACCCCAAAACCGCACATTATTTAGAACTGTGCGTCTGGCGGGAAAATTATGCGTCTAGGACGCAGGACGATGAGGTAACAAGATGGCTGGGTTGGTTGATTGACGGCTCGTCACTTCCGATTCATCGGCCGAGTCGGTCACGTTATTGTCACTCGCCGCAGGTTTTCAATAAACCGATTCCGTAGTTTGCATATGGTCCTGCTCACAATTAAAAGGTGATCATTGAGGTCTGACGTGATCAGTCAAAAGACGTGAATTTGGCGAATACAACGGTAGTCATTTGGGGAGCCTTCACAGGTTTTCTTGACTTGATCTCCGTGGCGGTCGCCAGCTGTAGAGGATGATTTTGTGTGTTTCCTTTCCTTCCTGTCTGTGATCGGCCGTGTTTTCTCCTCGTCCGGATTGACATTACATGGAATAGATTTCACTTCACAGCTTGAAGCAAGCAAGCATGCGATGACTCTCTTTGGAGAACTGCTTGCTAAATGCCACAATGTGCGCATCTCAAGGAGGATAAGATGGTATCGTCGATATGTGACAGAAGTGACTCTCGTACTTATCCATCAGTTCGTCTGACTTTTTTTTTGTTTTTGTTGCTTTTGCGCCACGTGATTTGACAGGTCGCGGGGAGGTGAGACACTCGGGCTTTGTGTTGGCCCTCAGGCGAGGTGAAACCGAGTTTGGCCCGTCTGCCGAGCTAATCGACTCACTCTGCCTTGAAACGCAACAACTCGCAGACATGAAAGGCGGCGGGCGCGGCCTCCGCCTCTGACAAGCACTTAGGGTGCGGTAGCAACGCTGGCATCCAGGAGAAATGTCACCATCCAGCACACCGCGGAAGCGAGTGGCCTTTTGACAACAAAACCGCGTCGGCGTTGCTGTGCGTTGACAAGCGAATGACGTTTCAAAACCTGAAAACTGAAAAGGGTATCGAAAAGAAGTTTACTCGGTCATTGTCATCAAAACATCCCCTAAATCGGCGGTCGCCGGCCTTTTTTTTTTGCAGACTGTTTTCACCTCCGAAGCTATATTTTTTGACAAAGTGGCATATGAGCAAATCAAAACATATGATTAAAAATACAACAGACCATTCCGTGTCATTTCCGCATGGCAGTTGCTGTAATTAGTGGCAACTCTTGCATTTGTTTCTCTTCTGTGAGCTGCTCGTGGGAGATAATGACACCCGAGTGCCTTACTTGGGGTCAGTCTGCTCCAGGATTTGGTTTTGTCGCCGTCATTGCAGAAAACCCCGCTTCACAAAGATAGGACGGTGGAAATGGAAGGAGGATATTCAGTCCCTTTTTGGGCAGATTTGAAGGTTTAATGACCTCATTTGCAAGCTTGTCGCCGCCACGTATTACGCAGTGGGGGCTTTTCCCTGGAAGTTGGAGAGGCGCTTCTTATTTGGATTTGGGATTTTCCCCTTTCTGAAGAAACGTTCCAAAGTTTATTTCTTTTTCTTGATACGTCTTTGAGACCTTGTCGGCTTACTTTTGCCCACAGCATCACCACCGGGGACAAGAGGCCGCACCAGATTTTCAAACAAAAAATGTCTTTCAGACTCTGATCAATCAAATATTTTTTTTGTTGAGTCTTTCCGTGCCGCAAATGTCCGATGGACCAGCTGTTCGGGACCGCTCCTTTGAATAACCCATCGTGCTTTGTAGCAGTTGGTGAACAATAAAATGAGCTAAAGAAAGAGTCGATGTTGGATCCGTTCCACATGCAAGGGGAGATTCCCGGTGAAAAGAGGTGCACCGACAATGCCGCGCGACTTGAGCCGCCGATGCGGACGGCGCCTTACTCGAGGACACCCCAACGGTTGCTAGCATGCAGACTAGCATCTCTCCAACAAGTTCTTTGATTTTAGCCACTATTTATTTATTGACTTGATTTGCCTTGAGCGGGACTCCAACCTCTTCCTTCCAGCTCCATAGTTCAAGTCCTTACAGATGAGCTGAAGCCACCCCTTTCGACGAGATAAAGAATAAGCTTTTTCTTCTGTGTGCCGTCATTCAATATCTCAACCAATTGGGCTCGAAACATTGGATTCTTTTGGAGCCAATGAGTGACAGTGTTGGAATTCAAGTCCTGGCACATTGGAAACAAACGTCGGGGCAGCAACAAGTGATCGGTCAGTTGACAATCTCCCCGTAATGCCATCATAGATGTGCTTTTGTAGATTTTCGATTGCCGTGCCGAGAGCAGAGAATCCATCATTGTGCTCTTATGTTATGTAAAAAGATTGCATCTGCAGATAAAGGCCCTCGCCGCCGCCTCCTCCTCCTCCCTCGGCTGCAACTGAATTGAGATTTGCTTTACAATCTGTACTTTTTGTCATCGTGGACGAGCTCTGCTTTAGAACAACCGCTTTACTTTGTGCTGTGTGCGTGCGTGTGTGTGTGCGTGTGCGCGTGTTTGCAAATAGCCTGATTGGTTTAGGGCCCCATAAACCTTTTTGGTCAAGTAGTCCTGACCCGAGTGCAGATTATTCAGTTTGACCGCTGACCCTGGACATACTGTTCTATGCGTCCTTTTGTTTTCATGCATGCAGGTGTCTGTTCGTGACCCTTCAATCCAATATGCTCCAAACCCACTTTTTGTGTGCGTGTGTGTGTGTATGTGTGTGTGTGTGTTGACAAGGAGGCCAAAAACGTTGTACACCCTCACCCTCCTCTACAGGGGCAGCGGGGGAGGGCAGTAAACGAAGAGGGAAGAACTTGGCGACTTCATTTCATCCTGTAAAGTTTTCAAGTATCTTAAAGGTCGAGGTTGTTCCACGAAAAGCAAACAAAGCGACCGACATGGCCGCTTTGTTTGCTTTATGTTCTTCCTTTCGTGCGCGTGAACACGCATGATCCTCCCACACAGGCATACATAAACATAAACATTTACAAGTACGTGGACTGCAGCTCAGATGGGCTGCAAACCTACCGCAAGCGGCTGAAGACCCCCCCCCCCCCCCAAAAAAGTCATCTTGGTTTACATTTGCTCTTGCTCGTTTGGCTCTCACTTCTCATGCACTCCGTATTAGGGGCCAGCTGCGTTGGCCCGCACGCTACACATGAGCCTGCTTATGACTCAGTATTGCATTTCTCACATTCCACTATTGCTCTCCTTTCTGTACTTGCTCTCAGCCCTCCCTCGATACCTCCTTGTCCCCCCCCCCAAACCCCCACTCGCTGCCTCGACTCAGGCTGTGCAGAATTGCTGAGCAACCGCCTCCCCCCCTCCCTCTTCTACCCCTCCCTTGACCCCCCCCCCTCAGTGATGCCAGAGCAGCACTTGATCCATATTGCTTCGAATCAACTACCTCATCGCGTCGACGCACGAGCGCGCGTTTCAGATGTTTCTCTGCCGCAAACCTCCCCAGCATAATATTTCACACACAGCTGTTGAGAGGAAAGAGGATATGAGGGAGGGGAGGGGGTGGAAATTAAAACCTGGCAGGCAGAGCGTGAGGGATGCGTGTGTACAGCGATTGGCTTTGTACTTCAGTACATTAAGCCCTGTATATATATGTGTGTGTGTGTGTGTGTGTGTGTGTGTGTGTGTGTGTGTGTGTGTGAGAGAGAGAGAGAGTCGGGGGTGTCATTTAAAGCAGCTGACAGTGCGGAAAGGGCGGCCAGGTGACGATTTGGAAGTAACCCTGGCGACAGGGGTGTTGGCTACATGACAGGTAGCAGCTCACCGTTTCCCAAAAATCCCCCACTGGTTTAGTCCAATGTGAGGTGGAGTGAGGGGAGAAATAGGCGGGGGCAGAAGGACGGGTGGATGTCGTGGTTGGCGGCGGCGGCGGTTGGCGGTTCATAGCGCTCCGCGTCACTCTCCCAGCCTCGGTGCTGTCCGTCGCGAGCCGAGCCATCGCGGGTCTCTCTCGTCCTTCCTCTGTCACTTCCTCCCCTCCTCTTTGTCCCCGCTTGCCCCCTTCGCTCTCACCTCTCTTGTGTTCTCCTTGCCAGTCAGCCCCTCCCTCCCTCTTCCTGACTTCTCCCCCCCCCCCTCCCCCGCCCCCCCCCCCCCCCCCCCTCTCTCTCTCGCTCTCTCTCTGTGTCACTGGAGAGCGTCTCAGTGTGAAAATGCCATCCTGCTCTCCAGACTGTTGCCTCTTTCAGGCTGTGGAGGTAAGAGACTTGCATTGCGTTTCATTCTTTTTCTGGATGTGTCTTTGAGTGTGTTTTTAACACAGTGAGTGTGTGTGTGTGTGCGCGTGTGTGTGTCCGCGGTTGACAAAGTGCATCGATCGAGCTCCCCCCCCCCCCACCCCACTGCTTTCCGTTTCCCTCCCCTGTCGATGTTTCACAAACTTTTCTCAAACAAAAGTCACATGTCATGAAATCACTATTTTATTTGGGGGGGGTCGGCGGTGGGAGGAGAGGAAGGAGTCTTCTGGCTTCAGAAGGGGCAGGGAGCACTGTGACGTTTTTTTTTTTTCCTCCCCCCCCTCTCCCTCGCTCGTGTTAGGAGGCTCTCTCTCAGCGTCGCCGCGGTGGTGCTTCTGGTGTTGTGTGCCATTTTCGGCGCCGGGCACATTTCCGAATCGCGGTGGCATTGTTAGGCTGGCTCGATCTCCCGAGTCGTCCGTTCGCTCCTTTTGTTTCTTGTTCCGTGTCATTTCCAACAGTTGCTCCCGCTTGCTTTGTGTGCAGTGCGGGGCAGTAGAGTTTGCGAGCGCAACGCCTGCTTTAGGCGCAGCATGTGAAGTACGTAGGTGTGCGAGCGTGCGCGCACACACGCGCGCATCATCATGCAAACATGTAACGCCTTCTCTTTGACCTAATGTGCGTCGCCGATTTGGTTTTGAAACACTTTGTGGCGTCCACGCGCTCATATTTATTGCACGCGTCCGTGTTCCGCGCCGCATGCCAGAGCGAGGGCTTTTTGTGTGAATGTGCAGATGGAGTGGTGTGAGGCAGCTGCTCTGTGGTTATCTGCGGAGCAAACGCACTCGCAGGCAAAATTACAGCGAGTTGAAATGTCGCTTTGGGCGCTTGGCTGAAATGGTTCAAAATGGCGCAACAATGGGCGGTACTTGGGCTTTGAACTATGCCCGCTCGCTGCTCCCAGTGGTGGCATTTTTAAGGACATAATCAAAATGTCCTCCAACTGCGAACATTTTCTACTTTTTCCCCTCTCGCCCTCGGTGTTGGCGCGGCAGAAAACACGTCACCGTCCGATGTGCGCAAGCAAGTTTACATGCATATCCGGGGACGTGCGTGTGAGGGAGTTTGGTTGAGCCGTGGACAAAAGGGCTGAACCCAGCGTGCAGGCGCCAGTTTCCGGGACTTTGCTGCGTTTTTTTTTTTTTTTTTTTTAAGAAACTCTCCTGTTGGAGAGGAAACTAAACGGGACTTTAAGGATGGACTTGACAGAGCATGTGGCGATGGAGGTAAATGGACGTTCGGAATCCGATCCGTCCTTCCCTTTCTGACGGTAGAATTTTCCTGCGAAGCGGCTTAGGCCGCGTGGCGCCGTCCCACCGTCGCAGGAACTTCTTCCAGCCTGCGACAAGCATGACCTTGGCCTTCGTGTGCTTTCAGATAGTGAAGGTGTGGAGCGAGGACGGGGCTGGCAAAGTGGTGGAAATCCCGGCGGACATGACGGCCAGAGACGTGTGCCAGCTCCTGGTCTACAAGAGCCACTGTGTGGACGACAACGCCTGGACGCTGGTGGAGCACCACCCCATCCTTGGCCTTGGTAAGCACCGCGCTCTGCCTTTTGTAATATTTTGTCAAGGAATTCAACTTGAATAACGTGTAGGATTTCGTAACCCCTTTCGGAATATCACCCAAAATCTGGTCCCTCGCCTGGGACCCTACCTTGCTAAAATGATGCATTGCCTTAGCATCTACTTTACAGGTGTTTGCCCATTAAGAAAAGCGCTCAACGAATGACATTTTTTCTTAGGATTTAAAAGTTGTGTGGCGTGCAGTCGTGGGCCTGGCTTGCGGCGTTTTATTTTGTGACCCAGATGAGAGAGACGCATTTTGGGTCCTGGCCCAAAACTCTTGTGCACTTCAAATCTTAATGATACATTTTGCATTTTCGTCATGTGCAGTACATGCATACGTGAAGCTTGACCTCCGCTTTTAACCCCTCATGCGCAAAAAGTGACCCACTGGAGTCGTGTGCTGCTTTCTACCAAGTGTATTGATGCATGTTTAAGACCACCTCGCTTTAGCATGTTATAATGAGGCCAAACACCTCTTCCAGGATGTTATACAAACGCAAAAAGATGTACAGGTTGCTGTTACGGTGGCTTGTGTGCGTCTGTGCGGGTGGGTGGGGATGTTCTCGTGCGGGCCCTCAGTTTGTGTGGGTGTCTTGAGCATGGCGCAAGTGTTTGTATGCCTTCCATACGTCCCAAGGAGGTGGTCGCGCAAGCGGCATTCAGAATTTTTCTGCTCCCCAAACACGCTCTTCTTCCCTCCCCCAATAATCATCAAAAAGGAAGATAACAAAAAGAACATTGACTTTCACAGCAAGCGCGTTTGAAGCTTTACTTAGCTCCTTTTTTCCGGGTCTGTCTTTGTCCACCGTGAGGCTTTCCCACTCCTGGCCTTGTATTTTTAGAGTCAAAGGCTCGCTTTGTGCATTGCTGCTTCATCTGCGTTGCTGGAAAAAAAAAAAAGCGCACTGGAGAGATGGAATGTGAGGTGAGCCGACGGAGGGAGGGCAGAAGGGAAGGGAAAAAAAGCAAGCAAAAAGAGGGAGCGACGGAGAGAAAAAAGAGGCAAGGGGGGGGGGCAGGGGGGGGGTGCATGCAGAGAGGCCTGGACTAAAGCGTCATACCAGAGTCGCGAGGAACCAATCGTGGTTCTCTGTCGGACGAGCCCCTAGCACGGCTGGCCAATCGCTTTGCACGTAACCCTCCATAGGAAATTCCCCCGCTTGCTCACACACAGACACACACACACACACACACACACACACACACAGAGAAAAAAAAATCAGCCGCATGCTAAAAATGAATGTGGCAGCAACGCATGGGTGGAAATGTTTGACCTCCGTTGTGTGTGTGTGTGTGTGTGTGTGTGTGTGTGTGTGTGTGTGTGTGTGTGTGTGTGTGTGATAATAAGACATGGGGAGAAGAATTATGGCTGAAGCCTTCTTGTGCGTGTGTCCATAGAACATCCTGTCACTATCCATTTCTTAGATCATGTACCCTCCACATTTACACACACACACACACACACACACACACACACACACACACACACACACACACACACACACACACACACACACACACGTGCGCGCGTGCACTCCAGTGATCACGTTAGGCCTGCGTGAGCTCTTAATGTACGCTTGTCTTCTGTCTTGGTGCACTTTGCTTCTGGCTCCCCTGCTCCCGGCAATCAGCCTAAATAGATGACATCATCTTCCTGCAATGCCCACAC